TTTTTAAATCCAACAGTGTACTACAAAGATAATCAGTTTATGAATAAACCGTTCTAAATTCATCAACATTGAAATAAATGTATTATTATAATAATATTTAACTGTTATCAAAACTTAGTGCAACTGTGGAAGCTTGCTCTGTCCGGTTGTCTCACTGAAAGACAAAGGGTCGCAGCTCTCACTATGTTCAATAATATTTGCCTTAAATACATTGAAATGTGAAAGTTGAACAAAAAAGTGATGTTGCTTGGTAAAATGTAACCTTTAGCTAAGAAAGTGCTCTCAACATCACTGATGTGTAGGTGATCTAGTATTTAGTCATGTTTAATGGCATGTATATCAGTGTATTAGAGTAATTACTTTATGCATTCTTTGTAAAGTATGAAAAAGGTATATGCACCTTGTAATCTGTGCTGAAGTTCTCTGCTGCTAGGAGTCCAGATCTGTCTCTCCTCCTCTGGTCCAGCCTGTCTGGATCACCTTGAGGACACTTTGAACAAACAGATGTAAAGTTACATGCGTGGCTTACAGACTTCTTTACATGCAAACTACTTTTTTATCTTCTTTTAAAAACAGGTCATAATCTTATTGTTATACTTAAGAAATTGCTGGATATCACAGTCCTTATACTGTATCAGTTTGATTGAGCATTATTGTGTAGGTCCTATTTATTTTACTGTTACTTTGGATGAGGTTTTCATGAGTCAGTCAAATTAATTTGTTTTCATGCCATATTCATATGTATCACACACCTAAGGGTAAGACACAAACCTATTGAACAAATGCAATGGATAAGCTTCATTTCCACTGAAGTCACAGATAACGTCATATCTACTATTTAAACATAATTTCCTTGTCACTAAAGCATTGACTACGCTATTCATCGTCCTTAAATGCAGGCATTAAGTTACATGTTCCGTTGTACAGCCACGATAAGGCTGTTTCTCAAGTGTGATGATAATACAATTAAAAGAGGCATTGGTAATAATATTAAAAACAACAATGTTTGGGTCGGATAGGCGGTTAGCTGCAATAAATAACTCCAGTTCAACAAACCATATTATAATATCTAAGGGAGCGTTATTTCTGGACCATCTTGAAATGTGACGTTCATATTTTAAAGATACACACATTTCATTGTGAGGTTGATTTAATATACACTAAGCCTCTCTTCAACAATACGTTGACGTTAGCTAGTCTATTTTATGCTATAGTAGAGCATAGCGAATTTAAATTAACCTTAACAATGCATACAGTAACCTAACTAGCAAACTAACTATCTAACGTACAAGGATGACCTTATTTTAGCAACCTCGCACAGAAGCCTTTTGGTATACAGTAGCATCCCACTTAATGTTTTACACTCTTGGATGCTACGCATAGCATCGTTAGCACAGATGGAGCTACGATTGCTCAAATGCTAACCCAACTCTAAACATTCATTAACGTTAGCTTAATAAAAACACCAGTAACATAACATAAAGTACGCAGGGTTGACTTACCGAAGAAACTGCATTCATGGACGGTCTGTTTCAACCGCAGATAAATCCTATATTTGCATGACGAATAGTCCACCAGGAGCCAACACAACAAACACGGCCGAGTTCAAGTAGTGTTCTCCTCATGCGCTGAGCCGCTGTAGCATCACGGAGCTAACAGTGAGACAGAGGAGCTAGGAGCAGCAGTCCCGTTGTCATGAAGGGGGAATCTAACTATATACAGAATATGTTTTTGTGGATCCAGGCTAGAAACATGTTCATTTTCTGATGTTAAGTTGGACATTTTAACATAGGGTCTACGGGAATTGCTCCCATCTGCATCCATCGCCTACAGTTTGCAGCATTGGGCTTCACCGCACTGTCCCGGGGTTTGCCGCTTGGCTCTGATAGGCCAGAAGTCGGTTTGATTGCATTCGGACTCGATTGCTTATCCTGTCTGAGTAGCCCGGATGAGGCTGCATCGCAATTTTTGACGTCGAATTTTATACACCGAAATATTTAACATCGAATTTTAAACACCGAAATATTTGACGTCGAATTTTTTTCACTTGAATTTTTGGGATCTGAAGTTGAACATTCGAATTTTTTTAACTTGAATTTTTACATTTTTATTTCACATAGGTAAATTCGGAGCAAAAACATTCGTATACATGATTTTCAAAGTAATTATTTTCAATGCTATAAATTCGGTGTCTAATAAAATTCAAATACTTCTGTCTCTTGTTTGCTTCCATAGTTGGGGGTTGAACAAAATTAATATTGCGCATTGCCAGACTCATATTATCTCCGATTTTAATACTGCAATATCTTAGATAGTGTTGTAGCTATATGATTTAGATTGTACTGGCAATTATACAAAAAGCTTTGCATTTGATCTTTAAGTAGCCCACAAGTAACTAAAACAATTGCAAGTGCAATAAGAAGCTACAGGAACGTTAATCTACGTTGGTAATATTAACTTTATTTAATACAACATTTACGGTACAAGATTTACATCATACAGCCCATGTAGTATAATATTTTACAAATGATGAATTACAGCAAACATGTGCAATATATCCATTATTACAGCTCCGTGGGCTGGCAGTAAGGCGATATGGTCCGTTGTTATTGTGCATCCATGGGTAAAGAGAAACTCATGTAGTACTGAACACGTAACTTGAACGTGCCGGGCGGCACGGTCCCGTGGGTGAGATGCGCGTTCATAATGCCGAGGGAAATAACTCTCAGAATAACGTTAATAACGAATTTTTTTAATAGGGGCTATACAAACGTTCATACTGGGTAGTTTATTTAGTTTAAAAAAAAATATCCAACGAGTTACAGACCACTCTTTCCCAATGTAAGTCAATGGGAAAAAGTGTTTCCGGGCCCAGCAACCTAAAGGAAGTGTAGTACCGCCGTTTGACCAGCACGAATATTCTCATCAGACTCCGGCACACTTCCTGGGGGCTTGGTCGTGACGCACGGCCGGACTTATCCCAGCCAATGACAGCTCTGCATGCATCCCCTGGATATTATTTTAGAAACTGCTTTAATCGCAACGTGATGTTTACAGTGAGAACAGCTGTGAGGTCCGTGCAGAAAGCAGAGCAGTGTGTATAATATATATATCACTCAGTATAACAGGCCTACATTACTCTCTTTATTTGCTTTAGTTTTATTCATGTTTTTCACGTCCGTGGTGGAGAGGACCCAACTATGCGATCGCTGCGTCAAATTAACCTAAAACCATTTAGTGCTTCACATAATAAGGTGCGTGTTGTACAGTGTGTAGGTGCGTAGCGTGTGTGTGCGTAGATGCGGCGGACAGACAGATCTCAGTTGGTTTGGTGTCCTCTGCTTACTTTTAATACTTGTAAATAAAACTTTTGGCCCGTAATTTCATTTCCTCATTGTAGCGACCAGAGAGGGGTGGGGGGGGATATATCCAGTCTCTGATAGTGTTACGTTATTATGCTGTGAGTGCTCTCATACTTGTTTGATTCTGAAATTGTATAATTTATATAAATATATGCCTATATATATATATATATATGTGTATGCAGGCCCGGACTGGCCATCGGGAGGACCGGGAGGTTTCCCGATGGCCTGGCCTGGCCTGTTAAGTGGGCTGAGATTTTTTTTTTTTTTAATGTATGTATTGTGAACGCAACGCTGCGCAAATGTGGGTCTGACTCTGCCTCACAGAGGGTGACTGGCTGTATACATGATGTGGCCTGCCGACATGGCCACTTTCATACAGATCATACTAATGCCCTCGATTGGTCTGTGTGTCATTCAAGCTCGGGAGGGTGTATGTTAGTGTGGCGCGATAAAGCGTGCGCACCGGTTACGTGTATTGTTGTTAGCATCTGGTGCTAGCTAGCTGCGCTAATGGATATAAGGAGCTTTTTCAACAACAAGGTGGAGGAGAGTCCTCTCCTGTCAGACTGAGAGACTGATAACTACAGCTCAGGTGAGGTAAAGGACTCTCCGAGTGTTTAGATAGTTAACTTAGTCTAAGTTATCTCTGGGTCTCGAAGAGTTTGGTCACCATTTATGTAAACACATATTTCCATTTGAGGGGGGAGTGATTGGTAAAATATGCATGAATAATACAAAAAAAATGTTAACTAGGTGAAAAAAGGTAAGATAAACTTGTTGAGAGCTAAAACTAGTCTTTGCTGCTGCCTCAAAGAGGAGCAGGGGGAGAGGAGGGAGACAGGTGAGGCTGGTTCAGGAGCACAGACACACTCACAACTATAAATGAACCAAAAACAAATAAATAAACAAGTTTCAATGTTTTTTCATATTGGATATGGTATGTTATTGGTTATGGCCATGTTTTTATGATTATTTAAATGTATACAGTTCTGTTTCATATGGGTGTAGTCTCTTTATTTCCCCCTCAAAATGCACCAGATTGATGCATTTAAGTCCAACATTTTTTTTTAAATCTTACCGGGGGAGCATGCCCCCGGACCCCCCTATAGGATTTGAGGTCCACCTCCACTTAAAATATGTTCACATAGGTTCCTAAATAGATTTGCACATTTTTTAAAATAGTAACCCATGTCCATATGTTTATTTTTGGGTAGTAGATTTAGAGGGCTATCATTATGGGCAGCAACGCTGTAAAAATTGACAAATAAAACTGGTAGTGGCCTGGCTGGGTGTATAATTCCCGGCCTGACTTATTGTCCCAGTCCGGCCCTGTGTGTATGTCCACATCTGTAGCCTGTTATTGTCTCATTATACCTCACTGTGAATGAATTAAAAGTAAATATAGAAGTCATCATGAACACAGTTCTGTCCATCAGACCTCTGTCTGATGGACAGAACTGTGTTCATGATGACTTCTATATTTACTTTTAGGCTGTGCCTCCTCGATCCTCGGTCCTCGAAGTGCATTTAGAGAAATTAGATGTCCTTCAACATGGCGCGCTGAAATCCATTTCTGGAGGAGTCTAAATTAGAAAGGCCCCAAGACGTTAAGCAGACTGATCTCAGACAAGCATATTGGTCATCTAATAAATGAAATCTCACTTTTTATTTGATTGAATGAAAATACAAACACAATCATTTGAAAATGTTAAAAGCATTGGTTATATTAATGTTTTAACAGTATAATTCAGATATTTTAATTGTATTTTACAATGTAAATAGTTTTGGCACTTCAATAATAACAAAAGTATACATTTTTATTTGCAATTTCTTCTCTGGGCCATCTGCAGTCTACAAAGAGGTTTGATTGAAAAGGTTTAAATTGTGATTTGTTAGTCTATAGTATGCCAACCTTCTTTTTCTATTTTGACGTTTAAAAAATAACTTGGCTAAAAGCAACACAAGAGACATAAAATATTTGAACAATTATGTAAAATCTGCATTAAACAATTAAATCTGTTAACCATCTTTACTACAACCACAAGGAAGCAGTCAGGAAGGGATCTGACTCTTGTAGCCGTAGTCGAGCTCAGCCCCCCCGCTGAGCAACAGGTCGATCCCGGTGCAGAACGTAGCATCTGCAGCCAGATACAAGGCAGCCAGTCCGCACTCAGCCTCCGTCCCCATACGACCCATCAGCTGTACGAAAACACAACGTGTCAGTAATCATTCTTGTTCTCATTCCAGCAGTTTGAGGTTGCATCATTCCACTTTCTTGCTGTGTTTTATGCTCCTGCAGCTGTTTATACAGTTGATGCGTCTTGCTTATTGTTATTTTGGTTCCACTTTACAGACTACCCTTATAAAGGATTCATAAAGGGTTTATAATTAGGTTATGAATTAGTGTAAACACTTTATTAATCATTAAGAACCAGTTCTAACACAGTTTTCATACATCAACACACTCACTATTTGGCAAGATGACTAAGCCTTATATTGGCTACTTAGCGAGAATCAACTTAGTGAACAACAGACACCAAGGATGATGAAGAAGACGAAGTAAGCTAAGTAGCCAATATAAGACTTAGCAGTACAGATGCATGTGGGCTCACTATTTGGCAAGCCACCGGTCACAGTTGCCCTGTTTATCTCATGTCTTATACAAGCTTGTTAATGATTTATAAAGTGTTCACAACCTAATTAATAAATGAATTACAAACTATTCGTAAACCCTTTATAAGGGTAGTCTTATTGTAAAGTGGTACCGTTATTTTATTTTAAAAGCAGCCTTGTGTATTTGCTCAGTACTACATATATATTGCTTTCAAGAATGTACAAGTTCCTGATCTTTTTCTCTCTGTGTAAGTGCAGATTCACAGAGTGAACTCAGGCAACCCTCAACTGGGAAAACTGCAAACTTACAAAAGATAATAGACAATAACAAATCTTCATCCTCCACCTCTATTACCACTGTAATACATAACTTGAGAATGGGAAAGTGCCAAGTATCGAGACATACAGATGTCGTAGTATAGATATAATATGTATATAGCAGTATTGTTTACCATAAACCGTTCACAATGCAGATTGTCATAAAAAAGTCATAATGATCAGCCAGGTATTTCATATCTCCCTGTGTCAACTCTTCAGTCTAGAACTTCCCTTTTATTGTTCCCCGTCAAATTCTTCCAGTGACTCGGATGAATTTTTTTTATAATTTGCATAACCAAAATAACAACCTGTTTCGGGAACTCTTCCTGTTTAGATGCAGGATTCAGGGAGTTCACATTTACAACCCAATAAGGCGACCACAGTGTGTGGCAGTTTGCATCATTAACACAACCATGTCTGAGAAACTGTCGGCTACCTCATAATGATTGAAACCCTCAGCAAGTCTTCTTAGCTGCTGCATACGCTCAGCAGAAACCAAACGTTTCTCTGCAGCTGAAAAGCACTGAGGGGGGGCTTTTCTTTAATATTATTGTGATGCATTTTTTTAACTCACAACTTATCTATTAAAAGCTGCTGAAAGGCAAAACGTTTTGGACCTGATTATAAGATTTAAATATAACCAGAGTTCACAGATTTTCTTTGCCTTTCAGAATGAAAGTTTTTCTCTGTTTTCAAAAGTGTTATGCCATTTCATCACCTCTGACTTCATTAAGATCACTTCCGCCTCTTTTAAAGATGTGTGAGAACTTGCCTGACAATTTTCTCCCATTTGAATGGTCGCTGCAGCGTCTGGTGAGTGTCCTGCTAATTCTTCCCACAGAGGTGTCAGCACATTACCTGGGGAGATGCTGCAATAAACGGCAGACAGTATTATTAGACAACAGAGGGTGATGTTAGCTCTGCAGTCAGGAGATACTTTATAAAATGTAGTTACTATGCTTTATGTTAACATATAAGAGGATGTTTTGAATATATATATAAACTCCTGTTTTATTTAACAAAATCAGTGAGTATAACTATTGTAATTTATCATCTTCACAATATTTTAAAGAAATAATGTAGTTTACTTAATTCCAAATTTGAGGTTCTTCGACTTCGTCTGAGTGTTTTAATTCTATGCTATTTCATAGAGAAGTTTTGTACTTTTATTTGACTGCATTTATCTGAAATTGTTTATCTTCAGATTACAAGCTTAAAATTGTAAAATCAAGTGACTTGTTGGGGCTTATTTCTCCAAAGATAGGAGAAAATTCTAAATAATAATTTCTTCCATAACTCACAACCAATCAGATTTATCTGGTGACACTTTGGATGGGCCTGGGGAACAGCTGGACTAACCTAATGTACACGTGTAAATAAAGCAATTCAATTTAGCTCAGAAAAAGGCTGATTACACACTGATACATCAATATTAACAATCTAATAATGTCCCATATAATAATATATCAGTCACACATTACATTTGGATGATAATGCTTTTCAAATTTTACCAAGTAGGATTTTAATTGCACAACTTTCACTAATGATGTTGTATTTTGACATAAAAACGTAAAGAAACCTTATCCAGATTCACATAAAAATGTTTTGATGAATACTATTTACAACACTATGAGACCGCTTAAAAACAGGAGGTCATAGAATCACACTGTTTTGTCCCAAAAAGAATTAACCTGAGTAACATTGCAGTTTGTCTCACCAGTTCACTCTCACATTGTAGCGACTCTCATCCACAGCCATCGCCTTTGTCATGGAGATTATCGCCCCCTTGTGGAAAACAGTTCACATTTCACAATATTTTTCTTTTAAACATTTATTTATTATAATAATGAAACCTGTTGCTTTAAGGATGAACTCACCTTGGTGGCAACATATGGTGCAGCATTTTTCTGACCGATGGTTGCCACTAGACTGGAGACATTTATGATGTTTCCCTGACGCTGTCGTAGGTACGGCAGCACACACTGAAGAGAGTGAGAGTTCCAAACACTTCAAAACATCTTTTGTCAGTGGGAGCAAAGAAGGGTCCTAAGATTTATCATTTTATAAGGACTTCACCTCAGGAGCATCAGTTATCAGGTCCATAAAGGCAACACACCTTTAGAAAAATAATTGCATTTAATTTTGCAGTACTTCAACCTTGGCTACGACTGTACAGCATTACACATCTACAGTAGGGTGGTCCTCATCGACCTTGAAGTTTAGCCTCAGTTGCAGCACCGTGGCTGCTGGTGTGGTAGCCCAGGTGAGGGATGGGGTAAATGTTGTCAGATTGAGGAAAAGATTAAATTCAATAGAATGAATTCTGGGGGTTGGAGTGTAGACTTTTCGACTTTCAATTTTAAGGACCAGCCTACGTGATGCTAAACTTCAAGGTTGATGAGGGAGGGGTAAATATTGTTGGAATTTGAATACAATTCACCAGGCTATTGACTATCATAATGAATTCCGGTGGTTGGAGCTTAAAATAAATGAATTCGAAAATGTACATGGCACTAAGGACCACCCTAATCTACAGAACTACTAAAGTTGTTTTCTTATTACCCTTGTATTATCTGTAGCTGCCATTGTAACATTTTCCAGAGGAATTAATAAAGTATTTGTTTCTTTCTTACTCTCTTTCGCGTTTTACTGTCACCGTTTTGACATTATAATAATAATAATCCTTACAGCCATTCTTTGCTTCCATAGAGGTCCACGTTTATGGAGGAAAGTTATAACCAATGATTTTGAGAAGTTCTAGAAACATTACTTTTGAAGCCAAGAAGTAGCTGATGAGGTTCAGATTCAACAGATCCCTGAACTCTTCTGCTGTGGTGTCATCAGTGGGTTTTTGAGGGGGGTCTGAAGAGGTGAAAGGTAAGGAGATCAACTAAATACTTTCCATGTAAAGCATCTTCATCATGACATCTGCTGGAGGGAAGAAGGAAATGTGAGACTTACGCCACCCTGCATTGTTGACCAGGCAGTCAACATGTCCATAATGCTCCACTGTGACTGCAATCAATCTCTGTGGTGAAAAGAAAAGTCACTTTGAGGGTTTATTTGAACAATCAACCAGTCTCTCATAAAACACAGAAACACCCTTAGTAGGGCAAACCAAACCCTAAACACAGAACTGGGTAAACGAGTCATATGAGTTTTACGAGTTGTAAGATGGATTGTAAGCTATTTTTAAACTGGGAGACTGAAAAATACAAACTTTGACATCTTGGTAAGAATACATAAATATGCCGGTGGACACACAACACCCACATTGTTAAAAACATGGAAGCACAGGGAACTGAACTCAAATGTACGACCCGAGAGACAAAGGTATAGAATGCAAAAAAGGTACTTTATTCCATAAGGATGTACAAAATAAGACGACACTCTTTGATGAGGTGATAAGGGTTACAAAAAGCACAAAAGAAAATCGCTCACAAGGTGAGGAACAAAACTCACTAAATACTTCTGGAGCATAAATTAGGCTTGAGTCATAATACTTAGACGCTGGTACAATGACTTGTGGCATGGGGACAGGACAAGACGAACTGACAATAAACAGAGGGAAACAGGGGAATATAAACAGGAGATAACTGGGAACAGGTGAAAACAATCAGGTGCGGGGCTGGCGCTGATGAGCGCGGGAGAACACATTAGGAAAGGGAGTCAATGAAGCTGAAAAGAGACGTGACAAAACAAAACAGGAAGTGAAAGACAATACAAGAATTACAACATAAAACATGACTGACTTAGCACTTACAGGTCTTGTGATCATGACTGTCAATTCAAAAAGGGAATTGTACATCTAAGTGCAGTATAACCAGAACAATAACACTAAAGTTACACATTACCTTGATATCGTCATCTTTGGAGATGTCACATGTGACAAACTTGCATGAGCCTGGCCCTGCTTTGTTTAACTCTGCCTCCAGAGCCTCACCTACTGCACCTGGTGATAATAGTTAAACAACTCAGTAGAACTCCTGTACTTTAGTTATAACCAGTGGTGGAAAGTGGAGCTCTTATAAACCACTATATTTAACTGCAGCAGTGCCTTACAAATGATCAACCTGTAGGAAGACTATAAAGTGAAACTAAAATGTGCTACACATTGACAAATTACAACCTTCAATATTACATTTGTATTATTCATAAACACACTCTGAAAGGAGGAGTTTCATAACAATACAAATGTTAACTTTGTTATGCTTGTGTTGATACAATTGCAGTAGGAACATTTTGAAAGAAGGACATTTTCACTTTTGTACTTTTACTAAGATTACATATTTGAGTCTTCCACCACAGATGCACCTGGTGCCGATTTGAAGTAATACATTATCATTCAAATAATCCTTGCCCAAGAGAAAATAAAGCAACATTATAAGAAAAAACATTGACGAAAAATTAAAATGACTCACCTCCTCTAGCACAAAACACCACCTTGGCTCCATTCTCCACTAAAAAATAAGTGCAAATGTTTCAGTGCGCAACCTCTGATCAGTTACAAATCAACATTATAAACAATAATTACCAAAGACTTTGACAATCCCTCTGCCAATCCCTTTGGACCCTCCAGTCACAATAACAACTTTGTCGTGGTATCGGAGGGACATTTCGGCTGTGATGAGGAGAAACGCCTCAGAGTTGCGCTGCTGCTAACACTGAACGAGACAAGTGTTCGTTGTTTTTCTTTGCGCTAATTCTACTCAGATGCACGTATGTGTCTCTTTACTTCATCACCTTTCTGAAATCATTCCCGTTTATAACAATATGGTCTAGCTGCGGCCGCGGACACTACACGACACGCCCACCTGACACGACACTACGGTGGCTGGGTATGGAGCTAATTTCCTGCCATAACTCCACAAACAAACTAAACAGGTTTTACAAATGCCTCATGATTCACTAACAAACACAATATGGTTTGCAAATACAAAACACCATCTACAAACTAATGCATTTAGTTTTGCAAAGAAAAAACGTATCGATCAAACAAACACATAACATTTTTCTTTCTAATAAATCATGTTTCAGAGACAAATTCAGCATAGGTTTTACAAGTACACAACTTTTTTTTACAACTACAACACTTTTTTTTACAAGTACAAAACTTGTTTTTACAACTACAAAACGTTTTCTTCTCACGGCGGAATATTACTGCCAAAAGTCACGTGACTTTTGGCAGTAATATTCCGCCAAAAGTCACGTGACTTTTGGCAGTAATATTCAGCTCGACCCTTCTCGTTTATAACCTCAGTTTGTAGTTGAGGTTCAAAGTTCCTACAAATCACGAGGTCTGCTCTGCTGCCTTCAGGTGCTGTTGGTAGTATTGGACATCACACAACTCACTGAAACATGCCTGATGAGCCCCGACTACGCTCTAACGAAAGCAGACCAACAACAAAACGCACATTAAAATGCTGATGATAACAACACCTATACTGAAACATATAGACCATTTTCAAAATAGGTAAGAAAAGTATTTTAAATACAGTAAAGCAACTTACTACAATGAATGCAGTGCACTAATACAATAACAAGACCAGTGAGAGTCTACTGCCATGCTAGCAGCTCTACAGTTGAGCTAAACGCTAATCATCAGCATGCTAACATACTCACAGTAATACGAACATGTTTACTATCTTAGTTAACTTCAGGTTTTTTGTCAAGTCTTAGTTGACCTTGTTAGCATGCTAACATTTGCTGATAAGCACTAAACACAAAGTACAGTTGAGTTGAGGCTGAAAACGTGATCCGTTTTTCAGATATTTGGGCATAAAGTTAAAAGCATTGGAACAACTTTAATTTTAACCTGATGATGAAACTATATAAAGAAAAGGCAAGGGTATCACTGAAGTGATAAAGCTACCTCTAATGAGAAGTGAAGCTTTGTATCAAATTTGTTTGAGTTTTTTTGCAGTAGTCAGGTACTCATGCAATTAAAGGCAACATTTAAAGCTCTTCCTGTAATGGGAATTGTAGTTTTACTGCACACAGACAGACACATTGCCACACATAAATGCTTGAGTGTGGTCTTCATGGTGAGTTTAAAATAACCACATCCAGATTTATATTTAATATCAAATGAAGGCTAGACTGGCAGGTCAGGTTTCAATTTGACATGTTTTAAATTTGTGGACACTTTTACGTAAGCCACAGTAGACAAACATAATTTAAAATACATGTTGACAGCAGTTTAAGATGATTGAAACTAAAGAAAAATACTACATATATGATGGCACATTCAGAGTGTAAATCACCATCAACAACACTTTAAGTTTTAGATTACCGACATTTTTCTTTTTTCGTCATCAAAATACTCACTGCTACGTGAGTGTGCAAACATTTACAGTGTGTTTAAGAAAGAGTGAGGGTTAGCAGGTTGGCATTTTCGACCAGGAAAGGTTGTTGGGGGCAAAGTAAAGGCTGAGGGGGGCAGGGGTGCTCTTGGAGTAGGAGAGGTCGAGGATCGAATTTCGGCCCGAAAGCATTCCCTACAGGCCCACAGAGCGTGAGAGAGCACAAGTGAAGACCGCGAGTGACATACAAACAAGCTTAACTAACTTCACCCGAGCTGCAGATTAACGCCAAAGCAGCAGCCCCTGAAGGAGCCACAATGCTCCTCTGCCACCTCCCCTCCTCTCCTAAACATGACACACGAAGGAGGGACGACATGGCGGATGAGGAGGAGGAGGGGTTGTCTGGACATCATCATGAGGGAATTGATACACAAACTGTCTCAGAAGGAGCAAAGGGTGAGCCCTAAAGGCACCCCGAGGTGGAGGTACAGCAGCTGGGTTATGGTCGCTCTCTGGAGGTGTGATTAGTTTGAATCATCAGCCCTGACAGGCAGACGGACCAGAGGAGGTTTCTACTGGATGAACTGGACATGGTGATGAGCATGAAGCTGACTGCATGTATGGAGCGTTTTGCATGGAGGGTCCGCATGGTGTTGTTTACAATACAGTTTATAATTAAAAAAGGTAAATGAAATGCATAATCTATTAATTTATGACAAAACTCAAACCCTGCTTTGTAACACTATTTAAGGTAACTTCTAAAAAACAAGTACTGTTATGTGATATAAATAACAAAACAAAAACTACTGTCTTTTCTGATATCCAGAACATTTCTCAGCTGAATTTACAAAGAAAACTGAGGTGAGATTTTGCTATAAATATCTTGTTATCAGTTCCAAGATATTGTATAAAAAACGAATGATGCATTATTGTTGGGGTTTATCACTTGGAGGTGTAATGTATGTCACAACTTAACAACTAAGTCACAGTTTATTTCATATTACTAAACTAAAGTTTTGATTGATCTACTCATGCTTCTCTGTTCTCTTGTTTCTGCATTGTCAAGTTAACCTTTAAGTGTTGTTCCCCAGAGTGAAGAAACAAGAAAAGTAAGAAAAGAAACAGAACCAAGAGGAAAAAAAGCCTAAAGGATGGATAATCAAGACAAAGGAGGAGGTGAAAGAGAAGAAGGAGGAGGGCAGACAAATGAAAATCAGAAAGCTGAGGAGGTTGGTGACGAAGAAAAATGGACCAAAGACAAGAACAACAAGCTAGAGAAGGAAATCAGTGAGAAGGAGCCGAGCAGAGTGGCCAAGAAGGAGAAACGCCAGTCGAGGACCGGCTGGGCTCTGACGGAACGCCTAGCCATCAACGTGTCAGGGATGCGTTATGAGACGCAGCTCCGCACCCTCGCCCAGTTCCCAGACTCCATGCTTGGTGACGCTGGACGTCGCGTCCGCTACTTTGACCCCTTGCGGAACGAAATCTTCCTGGACAGGAGCCGCGTCTGCTTTGATGCCATCCTGTACTTTTACCAATCAGGCGGGAGACTGCGGAGGCCCGCCAACGTCCCACTGGACATGTTCCTGGAGGAGCTGCGCTTCTATGAGCTCGGAGAGGATATCATCGAACGCTACAAAGCAGATGAAGGGTTCCCCAAGGAGGAGGAGAGGCCCTTACCCGCCAATGACTTGCAGCGTCGCCTCTGGATGCTGTTTGAGTATCCAGAGTCCTCCAGCGGAGCTCGCATCATCGCCATCATCAGCGTCATGGTCATTGTGATCTCTATTCTCATCTTCTGCCTGGAGACACTGCCTGAGTTCAGGAACGAGAAGGAAAAGAGGGAGGTGAGGATGGTGCTGACACATATGAGTGAAATAGATAGGATTGGGGTTATGTATGGCAAAAGCAGGTTTACTGACAGGGTGCGAAGAGAACAGAGGTTAACATTGTAATGGAGTGATGAGGTGATCATAGAGGGACAACATGTGCTGACAGTTGTCCCATACAAAACACCAACCAGCTCTCACAGTGCAAGGTCTTTATCTCCTCTCAACACAAGGAGAGTAGAACTGGAGGATTATTAGAAATATCAACGCTAAGAATCAAGATCAGGGAAAGAGACGGCAAAGGCAGCAAATAGAGTAGAAAAGACGAGGCAGATGTTTACATGGGATTATTTTGGACTTCTCGTTAAATGTGATCCTCTCAGATGGAGGGGAAGGAATTAAGTGGAAGAGACAGGTTGTTTTACTGCTAGTAGAAAAACAAGAGTAAGGAAAGAATATTGGCAGACAGAGCATGATCGATGTGGTTTTAGGTTGTGGCGATGATATGCCTTGTCAGCCTCTCACGGACAACTGCCAGACCCAACAGCACATTTAGGTGGAGTTGATACTAAAGTACTAAGAAGAGGGATAGAGAGAAATTGGAAAGGGTTAAGTGTGAACTGAAGGAAAGGAGACGGGCTGGTCTCACGTTACCCCTAAGAGATCTAAAGGCCTATATATAGAGTAAAGGACAACCCTTAGAGCACATCAACACATAAACTAAAGTCTGTATTAATAAACCCTATGACTCATTAACTGAAATCAGCATGGAAAAGACACAGTCGCAGATTAACTTTTCTGAGGACTGCAACAAAAGGAAATTAGCATTGCAAACGCTCCAGTAGCCTGGAGACGAGGCAAATTCTAGAGGTCCGGGGAGCAGAAGTGACACCACAGTGGCGCTGGTTGGATTTACGTTCCCAATCACCAGCAACACTGCTATACATAGATAGATATGTTCATGTGATCAGAGCATTTGGCGCCTTTGGAACGCTACGCAAACTAAACACAACCTGCATGCACAGCTGTCCTCACGTTATCACTCACTCACAAGATAGTGTTGAAAACTTAATCAATTAAATTATTCTATTGACCAGTTTTATGTCTTTTAAATGAATGAATGATAATGGTCTCATCTTAAATCAAAGGGCTGCATAATCTCCTCAAGCTCACTCACATCCTCCACCGTCTTTCCCTAAAGGCCCTGTCACACTGTCCCGAAATTGACACCCGATGGACACACGATAAAGGAAATGTTCAAATTCGGCTGTGATCGTAGCAACATCGGGCCATTCGTGAGGGCATCTTAAGCCATCGTATGACCGCCGGTGGAGTTTCTCAGGCTCCGGCAGCAACTTAGTGAGCGGCAACTTCGTAAGGCACTCGTGAGGACATCTAGTCAAATCGTGTCATCTTCGTGTTATCATCGGTGCCATCGGGCATTCGCCCTCACTCTGATCGGGGCGAATGCCCGATGGCACCGATGATAACACGATGCCCTCACGATGCCCTTACGAAGGGCACAATTGACACACGAATTCAACACGAAAATGAACCTTCGCAAGGTCCTTCGGCAATTTTTTGGCATGCCAAAGATTTTGCCACCGCTCACGAAGTTGCTGCCGGAGCCTGAGAAACTCCACCGGCGGTCATACGATGGCTTAAGATGCCCTCACGAATGGCCCGATGTTGCTACGATCACAGCCGAATTTGAACATTTCCTTTATCGTGTGTCCATCGGGTTGTTTTATTGCACAACAAAATCATGTAAATATATTATGTAAATAACCCAATTTGTGTTCTGTGAAACTAAAAAGGATATAATATATTATTTTGAAGGACAGTTGACAGGAAGTTGTTGTTGTTATGGAAACAACATTACGGAGAAAACGTAATATTTTCTACATATAACGACGGATAAAGTAAAGAACAAAGTCTGAAGATATCAGTACAGTATCATAGTACTGTAACATAATTGTTTTTGGTACTTTCATTGCAGTTGTATGTCTTAAATGTAATGTAAATGTTGCCTTCGTGTGTGGTTCGGGGCCATCATCGTGCGAAATTTACAATTCCATATTCGTGTGTCCATCGGGTGTCAATTTCGGGACAGTGTGACAGGGCCTTTAGCGAGCAACAGGAGGGAATGGCTGAACTTGGACGTGTCCTCACATTACTTCTCGCCGTAGTAGAAATAGCTTCAAGTTGGAAACAATAATAGACATTGGCAGGATATGTTCTGCACTGACCTAGTGTTATCCCTAACCCTAAATATCCTTCAGATCAATTTTGACACCATCATCACAGAATAACGGTCAATAAGAAATAATCTGTGTTGACCAACGTATTAAAAACATACTGACTAAGACATTAACAAAGAATGGATTGTGGAGGCTGATAGCAACAATTGCAGCTGAAGGCAAAACTTTTTTTTGCATCTGATTGCAATTATCCATGTGCCAAAATCCTGGCCACCTGAAAACAATGAGAGAAACTCATATTGGATGAATTATCCTAGTATGTCAGTATAAACGCGCTTTAGTTACGAGCAACTTTCTGTAGATGCAGTTACTTTCTGTAACTGCATGTGACTTTTATTGCTGATCTTTGTAAAATAGACTGTTTTTGCAAAAATCCAAGCTAGCTGTCTGTTACTTGTACTTTGTACTTTGGTGCTTTGAGCTAAAGGCCAGAGGAACTAGAGGAAAAGTCTGAGGATCGTCAGAGTCATTAGGGCCAAGGGACCATGAAAGTATTCACAAATTAGCCCAACAAAAAGTTGTTGTGTTATTGCATTTTGGACCAAAGTGGAGGACTGACCAACAGGGAGACCACTATTGACGTCATAATCAGCAGTAGAAAAGCGCTACATAAATACAGTCCATTTACAATTTTCCATATTGCTAACACTCCGTAGACACTCTATTAGGTACATTTATACAATGTAATGTAATTGAAAACAACAGATATGTTTAGTGGTGGTGGTTTTTCTGTTATTCTTTCCCCCTCATGTTTGTTAATGTGGTGGGCAAAACTAGAAATACCTGTGCAGTCCAGTTTAACACCACTTACAAATAAAATCTCAATAATAAACATATAGTTGTGTCAATCATAATAAAACATTATTACCTACATAAAGGTGGACTTTGTTGCAGATATCTTGGGCTAGATTGCATTAGATTTGAGAGGGGATTCTTATAGAGAGGATACTGGGTGTATTTTTGCAGGAATTTCAGAGGTGAATATCTTATAGCTTTACAAATAAAAAAAGATCTACCTCGTAGGCTAGATTAGAATAATAATAAGTGAGAAGTGACCCTTTTAAATGAAAAATGTTTAAATTCATCTGAAGTGTAAGGGTTAACGTTTATATTGCAAAGTTAGGACACATGAGAACATGAGGGTGACAGACATAAAAAAAAAACATAAACATATAAATACATATAGTGTTGGGGAGAAAATGTGCTTCCAGGCCGCCAAAAGCTTAGAGTAACTCTATCTAACTTGTTAAAAGACATGAAGGCCCAGCATTTTTAAACCCTTAACTCATTCCCAGAAAAAAACAAGCAGCCGGGTTAAATGAAAGTGTCAGATGCCTCGGCCATGCCAATGTCTAGGTTGACACACAACCCAGCGTCATATGAACTTGATGTGTTTTGTGAGTGTTTATTAATAGAGAAACTGATTTATATAAAAGTCAGTGGGGAAAAATAAAGCCAGGGGAGTGAAAATGGAGAGGAGTGAAATGTTAGCACAGTATCACAGATCTCACTGATCAGATCCTGATGACAGCTGTCATACTAGGAAACTGCTGAGGACACACTTTCAGAATAATCGCTTCTTCTCCCCTAACCTCTACCCTTGTTTACTCTCTTGTAAACTTTGTCTCCATAGAGATATTTATTATAGACTTTCCTCGACCCTTTATTCTAGTATTATGTCTGATAAACGGCAGATTTTAAAATATATGTGGCATCTACTTTGTCTTCTTTAATATTTAAGTGCAACGGTACCCATTTTTCCTTCATGCTTTGTTTTACAGAAATTCACCACCATAGCTCACCCAACCATAGCGAACGAAACCATCTTGGTCCCACCTGGCTTCACGCCCTTCCAGGACCCCTTCTTCATCGTAGAGACGATCTGCATCATCTGGTTTTCTTTTGAACTAGTTGTGCGCTTGCTCTGTGCTCCGAGCAAGGTGCACTTCTTCAAGGACGTCATGAACACCATCGACTTCTTCGCCATCATTCCCTATTTCGTCACCCTGGGTACGGAGCTGGCCAGGGACAAAACCGAGCAACCATCCGTGTCCCTTGCCCTAATCAGAGTCATCAGGCTGGTGAGGGTCTTCAGGATCTTCAAACTCTCTCGTCACTCAAAGGGCCTCCAGATCTTGGGTCAGACGCTGAAGGCCAGCCTCAGAGAGCTCGCCCTGCTCATCTTCTTCCTCTTCATCGGAGTCATACTCTTTTCTAGTGCTGTCTACTTTGCAGAGGTCGACAGTCCTAACACATCGTTCACCAGCATCCCTGAGGCGTTCTGGTGGGCTGTTGTATCCATGACAACGGTCGGCTATGGGGACATGTACCCGGAGACGGTGGGCGGTAAGCTGGTGGGCTCCATGTGTGCCATCGCCGGCGTGCTCACTATATCTTTGCCAGTCCCGGTCATCGTGTCGAACTTCAGCTATTTCTACCACCGTGGGAATGAGTGTGAGGACACGACAGAGTACAACCATGTCCCTACGTCCGTCTGGGAGGGAGAGGACGGTGAAGAGGGAGAAGATGAGGAAGGATTGGAAGAGGAGAAAGAACACAAGGGAGATTATGCCCCATTGTACGGACAGGACACCAGGGCTATCTGCCCCCCGCTCAATGGGACTCTCCTGGCAGGACTCTGTGACGGACAGGAAGCTGGTGAACGCAGAGGGTTTAACTTCTACCTCAAAGAACCTCTGGTCACTCAGGTTTGATCGAGAAAACACTTCAAACTGCTTCAAATTCAGAAAAGGAGAGTATCAAGAAGTATACTTCTGAGTGAAAGAAACATGTACACAAGGATTTGTACTGATATAAGCTGAATTTGTTACATTTGAGGCTTCTGTGTGATTATATGATTGATTGATATACACTAGGCATCTGTTTTTCTTAATAAATATGAGTTAATCGTCTTAAAACCCTAGAGGTTGTTTGGCAAAATGTACCTTTAAAGACAATGTCAAGACTCTTTAGATAACTATTTTACCTGTGAAGATAAACTTCTGTTGTTGCAATGTTGAGGTAGAATGAAGGAGTCTGGAACCGTCAGTGCCAAAGCACTGAGAGTTTTATTGATCACAGTACATTAATACGGCCGGGGAGATCACTTAGTTTCACACTGTCCCGTGCTCCACCATCATGATCTCTGCCCCAGAATAGACCCAACACGCCTCAACATGAGGAGAGGCGGGCTAACAGAAGCCCGCGTTTACCTAATCAATAGCAGATGGGAGACAATAGTCTACTTGTCTCAAAGAGATGCAGACAAGCCTCAACCCTCCCCCACGGATATAGGAGAAGCGTTTGACCTGTGACCTCAACTTACAGAGGAGTCTTTGACTGATAAGTCAAACACATGTTTGCAGTATCACAGAATCTAAGAAACTATAGGAAACTCTATAAACAGATCAGATTAAAATATTCTCTTACATTACCCACTGATCAACTAAACAAAAGATTTTATGACATTCTCTGCATTCTTGCTCGTTTTAGGCAGGAAATATAATTTAGAGAAACATGTTGCAGAGACATACAACACTTATTATCATGTTGCAGTATAACATATATGTTATACAATCCCTGTTTATTGATGTCACTATTACTGTTGTGGACAATAAAAAGTGTGCCATGTAGGAAATCCATTAACCGCACATTAGTCTGATGCCGTAAACTGCAATGCCCTGAACTGCTGCTGTGCACATACTCTTTAATAGATTAATGTGCAGTAAGGGTTACAGTTGCTTATGACCTGTAATGGTCAGAGTTATGGTAGAAATGTGACGCAATAATCTTGTGCTGATGTTGACAACAAAGAAATCGATCATCATGGAGGTGGTGGTGACAGAGTTCATGTAGTTGGAATGAATCCAGTTTGTATGTTCTATACAGCCGTGTAATACATACAGCCTCAAGAGATGGTTGGAAAACTGATATCAGGTCAGCTGACACTTCTGACTTCTGAGCAACACTATACTCTGATGGTCTGAGGCGATAGTACTCACCGGCTTCACAGCTTGGGCTTTACATTAATGACTTCATTGCCAGTTAACTCTCTGTCTTATACTATGCAATGTATACAGGTTATTGAAAGTCATTAATAATATCAAAAATTCTCCATCTGTACATTTAGAAATTGGCTGTTGGTAGTTTCATTCAGCTGATTCCAATCATGTATTGATTCATCAGCTGACTTTTAACAGCAAATCACATTCAAGCAGATGTTGAATGCAGCCTTTATAACACCCCTGACACCTCTTGGTTATTTAAATACACTTCTGCCAACTCGCTACACCACACCTATCTCTTCCTTATGTGTTAAGTTTTAATATTTTTGATTTAGAAAAAGTATTTATTTATCTGTGAATTAGCAAGGGGTTAGTTGTTCCATCAGAGTTCATATTTGCTGCTCAGACTCCCAAGAGAGCTCCAAATACAGAGCAGAGCTTGCATTATCACAATATAACTGGCTTACTACTTGTTATAAAATCAAATCTATGATGTTTGTGCCTCTGAGTGAAAAAAGAGACCAGTTCAGACCAGTTATTTGTAGTAATCCTCCTTTATGTTGTCCATCTGTATCTCAATCTTTATTTATTTGTAGGCATACTTTGCTGCGAACCGTGGTGGAAGGCATGACAATACGAAATGGTGTTCTACAATAAAGCTTATGGATGAATGATAATGTGGATAAACCATGAGACATTTTGGAAGTTTTTGATACTTTTCTTTGTGAATTCTGTGTGTTTGTGACCTTTAACTAAAGAATTGCAATTGCAGCCAAAAAACTAAACGATGTAAGGAGATACATGTTTTTTTCTAAATCATGTTGTATAGAGTTTTACCTTAAAAAGCGGTGTGGTTATATAACATGTTTTATAAGTGAGTGATTTTTACAGTGTGAATGTGGCTTGACCTGCATATATTTTGAGGACCGATGTGGCTGAGGATATGTATATATAGGATGTCTCACTTTATTTAATAAAGACCACATGTGATTCACCCATGTCATGAATTTCTGAATTCCTTCCACATGACTTTGTGCAGTGACTCGGGGAGAATGTGATGATGTGTGCTCAAATGTAAACACATGTTCAATCAGCGTGAGATGAGGCATGTAAAAGTAGTATCAGAGGGAAGACATGCTGGATGCTTTACATCTCAGTTCCTGTCAGTAAAACAGAAAAGATATTGAATAGTACAGATCGTCTATAGGTCATATGTATATTGCACTACGGTTCGTGTCATGAGTGATCCTGCCTCTAGATGTCAGACTGTGTTTTAAAACCAGGACATCTGTGTCACTGCTGCTGCCACTGGATTTAATTAAGTCATGTAACATGAAAGACTTCAAAGTAACCAAATGTGAAATTTTTCTTCTTGAAATGATTGTTTTTTTATGACATATCTATCACATTATGTTGTTTTCATTCCATGTTATACAAAGATTAATTTGATTAAGTTATTATAGACTTATAAAATCAAATTAGTTGCAAATGAAACTCATGCGATTACATCAGGTATTTGACGTCATATGTTTAATACTTTAAAAAAAAAACTCTACCTTCATGTGTAAAACATTATGCTCCGTAATGTAATTAAAATGTAGGTTTTCCACTTACATTCTAAAACAAACATGTTAATACCATAATTCACTTAAGCCATAGGCAATTTTCTAAGCAGAAATGCTACAAATCTTATGGTCATCTTCTCAGTTCTGAGGATGTACTGACTTTTTCTGATTAATATTGCTTGAAATGATCTTTTTCATTATTTTCATATATGTAATAGGTCAAATGATTATTGAGGAAACAATTGTCAGATTAAGCTATAAAGGACATTGTTAGTAGCGCTGAAACATAATCATTAACAGTTTTGGTCAAAAACGTTCATTGTTGGCAATACAAATAACACATTTCTCAGGAATATGTTTGCGTTCTGCTAAAATAGAGACAACAGGCCTCGGGTTGGAGCAGATGAGGCTCCTTATAAACCCAAACCGGCACAAACATACACTTGGACATGCACACTCTCGTGTCGATGCTGATGGCTGCCTGCAGTGATTAAATTGCTGACCCCTGCTGCCTCAGATGGTGCGATCTCCTCCCGTCATGTGTTGGAGCTCTCTCTCATGCTATAGGTCAGATTAGTGCTGCGCTCCATTGATCCATCTGAACATCATCTCAAATTTGAATTTCAGGAATGTTCAGACAAACCTCCACACATTGTCGTATTTACGGATCTCTGCTGACCTGCAGCACTTCACCTCTGCCTCCACCTAACTTGGCTCTCCTCTCTGACGTGCGGGGACCCGAAGCTAACGTCAGTCCTGTTTGCAATTACTCACAGTGCCCTTATGCTGTCTTGGAAGAATGAAAAGGATTGACGTCTTTCTGGCCATCTGCCGCCCTCCGATTCCTCTCCCATCCCTCACTCTGCCTCGCCCATCTCTAACTCTTCTTTGAGAGGATTAAGTGTGTTGGTATCTCTGTGTGTCTTTGTCTCATTAACATGTACTGTAAGCGCAGCTTCGTGGGAAATGTGTGCATGTGTGTCTGTTCCAACTTTCCCATCCAATAATATATTGTCAGCAGGATTGTTCCTGCGTCTTAGTCACCAAACACTGACGTGTGTCCCCTTTCGAATATAAATCCCTCCGCAGATTGAACAAAGTTACTTAAGCAGAAGAGAAAAACACAAAGGAATTGTAGTAATTTTAAATAAATCTCTAGGATTTTATTACCTACAATATACACACAAGCTGGACCTGTGAATCTGAGTTAAGACTCAAGGATGATGGGAGGCAAAACTTAAAATGAAAATGAGATGCTCAGTGGGGAGGAAGAGACTGATGACGTTATTTTACAGCAATTAAGAATAATGAAACAAGATTAAAACTAGTAAATTCAAATAACAACAAAATCCAAACAGCATCTTGCCTATTACTCGTCATTTCAGAGACCAGACCACAACAATAAAAATACAATATTAACATCAAGGTAATAGGTGATGTGCAAGAAGAGCACCAAGGAAGAAAATGCTTTTATAAAGATTTATAAAAAGAATGTCTGCTGGTTGTATATCTCTTTAGATGAAACCAGTTGGTATTATCAAGGTCATTTAAAGAAATAATTAGACATTTCCTCTCTCGTGTCTGTATGATAAATATGAAACAACAGCCAGCAGTTAAAATAGAGGAGAAAAGCCTTGCTTTGTCCAGGGGTGACAAAATCAGCCTACTACCATATATTAAGCTCACCAACTAACACGTCACGTCTGGTTTGTTTAATCCAGTGTAACATTTTTACATTTCTACCACAAAATGTATTATGCGCTAATCTATTTCTTCTATGGAACACATTGACGCCAAACCAGTTTGTAACAGTCGTATCCTTCTTTAGGGACTAAACAAACAAGATTTGGCATGAAACATAGTGAGCTTAAGAGATGTTGGTAGGTGGGTTTTGCTACAGAGATTAGGAAAAAATAAGTCTTACATCAGTTTTTTTGCCTCTGTAAAACAGTGTTTTTCTCAAAATGTAAAACTATTCCTTTGATTTAAACAATTCCCACTTCTGCCAGGAAAATAAAAGTTGAAGAGAAAGATGGTAAAAGATGATCTACTGTAAAAACTCACTGATGTGCGTTAAAGGCTGGTAACACCGGGACACTCTTCTAGTCGAGAGCAGATTTGTTTCTCCTATCAAGCGCATTTAAGGAAGTTCAGACATACAGGAGCATTTTAAGTTTGGTTATGAGATGACAAATCAAGACAGGAATGGAGACACAAGTAAAAGGGAAAGAACTCTCCATTTAATTTGCTAAAGAGCAAAAGTCTCAGACCTGGTTTTATGGGCCTTCTCAACATTTTAATATCTATCTGTTTTAAGCTCAAAGGGAGCTTGTTGATAACTTATCCAACAGTTCTGCTAATGAAGAGCAGAGAACTCAAAATACATCTAAGAAGTAGCAATGTAACCAGCCAGAAGTCTACTGTCCAGTCATAAAACAGAAACTAATTGATGGGGGGGGGCTTTGTGGAAGTAAAAATCCAATCATGGCAGGTCGCTGGTTGGCATGGCGTGCCTCCGGTCATAAGCAGTGTCATCGCTCTCCTCGCCGTCGCTCACTTCACCCAAAACCCTCTCTCTCTCCTCGTCCTCTTCGGTTTCACTCTCTCGCCTCAAGCGATCCCGTTCCCTCTCTCTCTCTCTGTAGGTCCGATGCATTGTGGGAACCTGAGAGGGCAAAGAGACACAATGAGATCATGTAGACTCTACTGAGTGAAAAGTGAATTGTATACATGTACATGTGCTAAATGTTAAAGAAATACAACACGGTCTGGACAGATTTGATAACAGAATAATACATCTTCCTTTTATCTCTGGTAGATCGCTGACTCTGGTGCTCCATGCTAAAACGTATCATGTTACCAATGTTAAGCAATAATACTCTAATATTTGAACAAACTATCTACAAATATCTACCTGAAATCAAAATGTTAAACTTCCTGTCTTCCAGATTACCCCTTTTTAAAGATATAAGCACAAAGTATAAACTTGATATAGCTTAATTTGTTTATGGGAGTGAACAAATTAGGCTATCAAGTTATCTTGACTTATAAACCATCCATCCATTATTTTATAATTGATCTAGGTAAACATCTTAAATAATACGTCTGACTGCAAACAATTGATTATTTTCATAATCAACCGAATTTGCAGATGATTTTCTCGTTTAATCATTTGCGCTATAGTGTTGATGTTAAGTGTTGAACTGCTTATTAACAGTGTAACATAATAATAACTCACATACAGTACATATGAGGACATGTGGTGATTTGTGTGAGTTTAATGCATGTTCTTCAGCTAAGGCCAAAATCCAGTAAAGGCTCATTTAAATAATCTAATTATAATTGAATCACAGATGAACATATACTCTGCAGCATTAAAAACAGTAGCAGTTTGTTGGTAGTCACCTGGTTGTCATGGCTGGGCAGGGCGCAGTAGCCTGCCTCCGTCCTGCGGGGAAGGCGTGGTGAATGAGTACGGAAAGGTCGGGGGGAGTGGGAGCAGACGGAGCGCGGAGAGGGAGAGCGGATGGAGCGCGGGGACGGAGATCGGACAGAACGGGAAGGTGAGTAATTCATGGACTGGGACTGGGACAGAGCGGGGCCGTGGTTGTTTTGTTTGGGAGGGCGAGGGGAGCGAGGGGGCAGATCGGGCGGTTTGAAAGGGTCGATCAGGTCAATCTCTGTCAGAATCGGTGGAGGAGGGATGAAATCGAGCTCCTCCTCTGGATGGAGCAGTAGCATTTCTGCTGCGTCAATTTCGGCGAGCTCCGCCTTGGACAAGTGGTCCACGATCCCCGCGCCAATCGAATCGCCCACCACATTGATGGAGGTACGCAATCTGTCACTGGGTAGATGAACAGTAACATTGTCAGCGGGGGGAAAAGCAGAGAGCCACCATAAGCTGAATAGCCAAAACCCTTTAACGTCTCTCACAAATGCTACTAACTAAACCTGAAATAGCACTGGAGCAGAGCTGTCATTTCTCCTGTTATTGACACACGCTTATAAACTCCCAACATTTCCGACACCTGACTCACAGCAGCCAGTCGACAGCGATGAGCAGACTGATATCCTGAGTCGGCAGCCCCACAGCGGTCAGGATCAGCAGCATGGTAACCAGCCCAGCACTGGGAATACTGGCAGCCCCCACACTGGCCAGGGTGGCAGTCATACTGGGGAGGAAGAAAAAAAAAAAAATGGGTAGTTTAGTCGTTAAACATTGACCAACATTTTTTGATTCAGATGCTGAGCTGGAGCACACCCCAGAGAATGCAGGAAACCAACATGCGTGCAGTTGTCCTGTGTCTGCGTGACAGAAAATGATTGGTTACTCATCATCCTTTTTAGTGTGTAGTAAAAAAAATTCTAAAGCAGGCATTGCGACAGAAGCAAACCAGAACAAAATGTTCTGCCCATGGTGAAGCTGTTGAATAAAAAATGCCAGACTTTGTGCTGGAAATCATTAATTCTGTAATTGCTTTTCAGCAACTTCCTTCACTGCTGACTCAATACTGTATGCGTCAGTTGAATGTCTGCCAATACACACAATTGCTCCAATTAACCCAATGTGTCAGAGCCCTGAAGGGATCTGAGAGGTGACTACTGTAAATCCTCAGGCTGATTCATGTGCTGTGCTCTCTAGTGAGGCTGTCCTCTGAACACAGTCACTGACAGTGAAAGTCACCAACACATCTGTGTCAACAGATGATTTGTTTATGTGGATGTTTTTTGTCTGAAAACACAAGCCTAAGAATTGGTGTCAACAGTTTTGGTAGGAAAAATAATACAATTTCAAATTGCAAATCCTTTGCTAACAAGATTTAAAAGTGTTATGTAGTTCCTAAACCCTGCTGACATTATGTGTTATGGTATTAATCAACAAACTAGCAATCCATAATGTGTTGCAAATTCATTTCATGTTTCATAGTTTTGTGTATTTATCTTATGCTGATAACCGCACAGCCCAGTTGTTGTGGTGTTGATCATTTACAACTTAAAAGAAGCACAAATGGAACTAAATTGATGTGAGAAAAAAAGTGTTAGCTTAAAAAACCTTATTTAAATAGAATCCACAATCATATGTTCAGAACTTTGGAGATTCTACAGGATATCCTTCTTATATTCTTCTTAGAAAAAGCGGTTGAAAAGCACAATCCTTTTATTCATTATAGTATTATTGTTTTAAAAGACACATGCCAGCGCAGTTATAATCTATAGGATTATTAAAGGGTAAAATAGATTTAGTAAAAGGTAAAAGGTTTCATTATAGTAGATATTTTTCAACGTTCTCCATTACATACAGAATGTGAGTTGTTTCATATTTTGTCAAAATGAAAACAATTCAATCTGAAATGTCCAATTTCAGATTTGGCAGAGTGTGTAATGTGTGGTTTAATCTTGTGGTTATGTTGGTCATACAGCTCGAACCCGGTATTCAAATGTGTTAATTCGATGACATCGTTCCTGCAATGCTTGGATGAAAGCGGGATCTGAATAAGAAAGAGGGTGATTACCAAAAACAACAACAAATGTCTTCATGTTTCCTCACTTTTTACATGTTTTAATCAAAGAAAAGAAGAAGAATGCTGCATGTTTGCAATTAGAGGAATTATGAGTTCACGTTGGCCCCAGATGTGACTGCAGGCCTGTTTGGACTCGGCTCCAAACTGCGACGTGTGTTGCATCTTCATTTGTGCTCTGCCTTACATCTTAATGCTTTATGACAAACCGTGCTAATTAACATCGCGTTTTAGAGACAGAAGATTTATAATATACCACCACTGATGAAACAAAATTCCTTAAAATAAAATCATTTTGGAATTTGGTTGTTCTAAGAGCTAGGCATCATTTACAGACCCCCACCGCAAAAAGTCTGGTTCCAATCAGACATAAATGTTTTGCTGAAACCTCAAAAATGGGAATTTCTTACTTTCTTACTGCTTTAGTTTGAAGCTGTCTTCCATCCCTGCATATTGTTAGATTAATTACAATGTCTCAAACTGGTGCAAGTCATATGAAAATGCGTTGGGGATTTTGTTTACACAGGAATGTTGCAATGAAACTTGGATTTACACATCTTGTTGCCCTTTAAAATCAACAGAATTAACCATCAGAACTTCAAATTGTCCTAAACTACTTAGACGCAAAAGATAAACCCTTTCACACAACAAACTCTTACTGATATGTGATGGGTCCAGGCTCAAGGGCGTATGGCACTCTCAACTCTTTCAAGGACATGTCGGGGCCCTGCCTGCCAGTAGCTTTGCCGATATCTGTGTTGATAGGTAATAGATTAAGAGCGGTGAATCATAGAAACAGGAAGCGCTCAAACGTTTGTGTGAGTGTATCTAATTTAGCAGTGATTCCATGTCAGCCACAGCTTGTTACAAAAAACATGACTGATAGTGTGTTTAACAAACTTAAACTAGCTTTATTAAATGTCAGGTCTTTAGCAGGAAAAACATTTTTAATCAATGATTTTATCACTGAGCACAATCTCGATTTTATGTTTTTAACAGAAACTTGGATTGAACAAAATAACAGTGCAGCTGTTCTTATCGAATCAACCCCTCCCAACTTCAGTTTTATGAGTCAGGAAAGAATGCATAAGAAAGGGGGTGGAGTTGCTATTCTGTTCAATGATGCCCTTCAATGCAGGAAGACATCTTATGGAAACTTTGATTCTTTTGAATATGTGGCCCTCCGGCTGAAATGCTCCTCTCGAGCTCTGTTCCTAAATATCTATAGACCACCCAAATACTGTGCAAGCTTTTTTGATGACTTTACTGAACTGCTGTCTATAGTGTGTATTGACTTTGACCGTCTAGTCATTGTTGGTGATTTTAACATCCATGTTGACAACCCCCAGGACAGAGGGGCTAAAGAACTGTTTTGTGTTCTTGATAGCTATGGACTGACTCAGCATGTGACGGAGCCCACGCACAATAAGGGGCACACTCTGGACTTAATTATCTCAAAGGGTCTGAATATCTCTAAGGTTGTGGTGACTGATGTTGCACTCTCTGACCATTCCTGTGTTTTCTTTGAGAGCTCTATTTCTGTTCACAAAAATGTTCAAAAAGAGGTAACCACAAAGCGATATTTAACTGAAAACACTAGGGAAATGTTTACTCAGAATTTCTCTTCCACACTTGCCCCTGCCAACATCTCAGTAAATGAGCTAGTAGATCATTTTAATTCAAAAATTAAAAATGTTATAGATGCCATTGCTCCAACTAAGGTAAAGGAAGTGTCTGGCAAGAAAATATCTCCATGGAGAAAGGCCATGACCGTGAAAACAGAAAAAAGAGAATGTCGAAAAGCTGAACGCAGGTGGCGAAAAACAAATCTCCAGGTTCACTTTGAAATCTATAAAGAGAGACTTGGCCTCTATAATTTGGAATTGAAAAACGCACGACAATCGTTCTTCTCTGACATCATTACCAAAAACAAAAACAACGCACGTGCCTTGTTTGCTACCGTCGACAGACTAACTAACCCCCCAGTGTCAGTAGCCTCTGAATTTCTATCCACCAGGGCGTGCAATGATTTTGCCTCCTTTTTCACTGACAAAATTCAGAAAATCAGACAAGCAGTCAGTGCCTCTGCATCAGGAACAGTAAATGTGTTGTCCCTATCTCCACTTAACATCAATTCAGACATCATGACACAATTCCATCAGATTAATGATAAAAACCTAGAGGACATTATTCAACTTCTGAAATCCTCCTCCTGCTGCCTTGATATTATTCCAACAGGATTTTTCAAAGATGTTTTGCCTTGCATGGCCTCAGATCTACTTCATATAGTAAACAAATCTCTTCACTCAGGTATTTTTCCACAGGCCCTGAAAACTGCAGTCATTAAACCGCTCTTAAAAAAGAATAATCTAGATGCTTCAGTAATGAACAATTACAGGCCCATATCAAACCTCCCATTTCTAGGTAAAATCATTGAAAAAGTTGTTTTTCAACAGTTGAGTAATTTCTTGCATTTAAATGACTGTTTTGATGTGTTCCAGTCAGGCTTTCGTCCAAACCACAGCACTGAGACTGCTCTTGTAAAGGTCTTTAATGACATCCACTTAAACACAGACAGTGGCAGAACTTCAGTGTTAGTATTATTAGATCTCAGTGCTGCGTTTGACACTGTTGACCACAGCATATTACTAGACCGACTGGAGAACTGGGTGGGACTTTCGGAAACAGTTCTGAATTGGTTTGAATCCTACTTAAAGGACAGAAACAACTTTGTTTCTATAGGTAAATACACATCTGAGTTGACAAATATGACATGTGGGGTTCCTCAAGGCTCCATCTTGGGGCCTCTTCTCTTTAACATCTACATGCTACCACTGGCTCAGATAATGAAGAACAACAAAATAAGTTACCATAGCTATGCAGATGACACACAAATTTACGTAACAATTTCACCAGGAGACTATGCTCCAATTCAAACACTGAGTAAGTGCATTGAACAAATCAATGACTGGATGTGTCAGAACTTTCTCCAATTAAACAAAGATAAAACTGAGGTAATGGTTTTTGGAGCCAAGGCAGAACGTATAAAAGTTAGCGCTGAGCTTCAGTGTGCAATGTTCAAAACAACAGATAAAGCCAGAAATCTAGGTGTAGTCATGGACTCTGACCTGAGTTTCAACAGTCACATTAAAACTGTTACTAAATCAGCCTACTATCACCTAAAGAATATATCTAGGATTAAAAGACTAATGTCACAGCAGGATTTGGAAAAACTTGTCCATGCTTTTATCTTCAGTAGACTGGACTACTGCAATGGTGTCTTCACAGGTCTCACTAAAAAATCTATTAGGAAGCTGCAGCTAATTCAGAACGCTGCTGCTCGAGTCCTCACTAACACTAAGAAAGTGGATCACATCACTCCTGTTCTGAAGTCTTTACACTGGCTTCCTGTGTGTCACAGAATAGATTTCAAAATACTGCTGCTGGTTTATAAAGCACTGAATGGTTTAGGCCCAAAATACATTTCTGACCTCCTGCTAAATTATGAACCATCCAGATCTCTCAGGTCTTCAGGGACTGGTCAGCTTTCTGTCCCCAGAGTCAGAACTAAACATGGTAAAGCAGCGTTCAGTTATTATGCTCCAAATATCTGGAACAAACTCCCAGAAACCTGCAGGTCCGCTGCAACTCTGACTACTTTTAAATCCAGGCTGAAGACTTTTCTTTTTGTCGCTGCTTTTAATTGAACTATTCATATCTTAGACTGCACTGTAACTTTTATCCATGTACTTTTTTCTTTTAATGTTTAATTGACAGCACTGTAACTTGTATCCATGTATTTTTTCTTTTAATGTTTATTTTATTAGCTTTTCTTTTTAATGACTGCCATTTTCTTAATCTCTTTCATTTTTTGTAAAGCACTTTGAATTGCCTTGTGTTGAAAAGTGCTATATAAATAAACTTGCCTTGCCTTGCCTTGCCTTGCCTTTCAATCATCACTTATTACTCACTAGAAATATGGGCCTGTCTGTGCATCTACCTGGACCTCTGCCCATATTATGTTACTTTACTGTGTTCAGGACATTTATGAGCCTCAACCCCTGGAAAAACGAAGTGACCAGCAGCAAGATCCAGAGCCGGGGACTGGAGTCACATGACTTGACTCGAATCAGACTCAACGTCCTAAATTTGATGACTTTAGACTCGACTTAACAAAATAAATAAAAACTTCGAACTGGACTTGTACGATAACGCCAATGCATTATGTATCTTTATACACATTCACTTGTAATACATATAATGTTTGTTTTGAAAAGAAAAGAAAATCCTGTTGTTAACTAGGGATGCACCGAATATTCGGCCACCGAAAATTATCGGCCGAAAATGGTTAAAAAGGCCCTTTCGGCTTTCGGCCGACTGTAAACAGAATAGCTGAGATTTTAACAAACTAAATAACTCAGTTTCCTCTAATCATTAACCCATGTTTGTATAATGTAGTTAACTCCGTGTGTTGCTGCTAGCATACATAACACCTGACGTGGAAACGTTACTCGTGGATGGGGCTACAGAGCTGCTAGAAAGACGGTCGAACCCGGTACATTCCTCCGTCTGCATGCGGTGCACTTTTGCTAAATGTTTAGACAAATTGCTCGTGCTTACATGCTAAACTCTTATTGCACTTATGGTAACAAGTATTCTCCACATCGAGACGGGTAAAGTTTAACCACACCTCGGAGCGCGTTCTCTCCGCCATCTCCGCAGTGTGCTCCGCTGCATGTAGCAGCTGCGTGTGTGTAAACTGCCCCGCCCCCTCGTACACAGACGGGGGAGAGATCTCGTCTGATCGAAAATACATCATAGACGCATTTGTTGTCTTTGCATATTAGAAACGAGTTGGCGACACTAAGACTGCGATATAATATATATCATACATGACATATATAAATGTACTGTATGCATTCAAAAGTGCTGAATAAATGTTTTATGGACCCATAATAGTGATTATTATTTAAGTTAAGTTTTGCCATAATCATGTCTATTTCCATAATCAGGTAGCTGAACAACATTGGTAAAAAATGTATACATTATATATATATATATTTCTATTAATAATTTTCGGCCTTTCGGCATTCGGTTTTCGGCCAACTCTTTCCTATTTTCGGTATCGGTTTCGGCCAAGAATTTCCCATTCGGTGCACCCCTATTGTTAACCTTACCTGACCAGAGCACTGCTGTTGACATGAATGTATGTAAAGATTTCTGTGGCTGAAAAATCTTTGGTCATCCAGAAATCTTTTTTTGCTTTTTGTTGCTTTACTTTGATGTTTCCCATAGAGACTTTAGAATTTGACATTGGAGGTTTCATTTTTACATTCATATCCTAAATGGGGGAAAGTATGTACAAAGGTATTTATATTACGCTTTGAAACTTAAAATTGAAACGCTGATCCATGTTTGTCCTGAAAACTTAAATAAACAGAATGTTTAAATAAAACGAAGTTCCTTGTCAAAACGAAAACAACATAAGGCATGTGTGTGAAGGACATCCAACATGTGTCTCACCTGACAGTGATGATCTGTCCCGTATCCAGAGAGATGTCATTCATCTGGGCAATAAAGATGGCTGCCACAGCCTCATATAGCGCAGTGCCGTCCATGTTAATGGTGGCGCCGATGGGCAGCACAAAACGAGTCACACGCTTGTCAATCTTCAGATTTTCCTCCAGGCAGCGGAAGGTGACGGGTAACGTTCCCGCACTGAGAGAAGAAGGCCACACAAGATGCCAAGTTAGAAAAAAAAAGGTGCAGATGTACAAAGAAAAGGAGCAGAGTGTCTGCTTAAGGATATCAAATATGTAGACAGGTGGTGACAGAAGTGCAGAGGTGAGGAGGGAGGTGAGGGGGTGAAGTTAGGGTAGAGACACAAGGTGGAAATATGAGTGGGCTGACAGCCTCCTCCTAACAGCTGGTGCCAGCCACTGTTGCAGTCCTGCGACATGCGAATTAAAGGAATTTGATTCCTGTCCCTGCTAGGCTCGGGTCCTAATATCATTACAGAAAACGTTGATAGGATTATCCATATTCACTAGAGCCTCAGTAATGTGCCAAAATGACAGTTGGTTCAGCAGCGTTCAGACTCCCAGGCAGGCCGAGCCAAGCCGAACCAGGCAGGATACAGCGGGGCCAGTTTGGCTGGTGAGGACTAATCCGAAGGCTTAGACATTTACAACACAGAATCTGTCTGACATGGACTTGTCTATGATAACCTGTGCTTATACACATGTATCTGTCCTGGTTTGTCTGTGTAAATACAACGTTTTGCCTTCAGCCGTTTCAGATTCAACCCAAATAGCTGAAAGCGAGTTGCAGGCTAGGCCATTCATTCACAGAAAAAGTACGGCAGCTGTCAAGGAAAAGATGTTGTAAAAGAAATATGTGACACATATGTCGCTAACACATGCACAAACAGAGAACTTCCTCACAGACAAACGCACGCTTGCTGCAGGATGTCCTACCTGCTGGCAGTGCCCAGAGCCGTGATCCAAGCCTGGAAGATTCCAGAGTAGAAAGTGATGGGGCTTTTTCTAGTGATAGCGAAGAATATAGCAGGTAGGATCAAGCCGCCGTGGATCACCAGGCCCACGATGACGGTCACCATGTACATGCCCAGCTGCCTGGCAACCATCTCCAGGTCTCCGATGGCCGCAATCTTCCCCGCAATTAGGGAGGCAATGCCGACAGGAGAGTACCTAAACACAAAGTGAAGAAAACACACCAGAGCTGAAATGATTGACGTTTTGTTATGATTGATGTTGTATTATTTGTAAGGCTGACTGCTAATTTAGCATCCTTACTTATAAAATATTTATGTTTTCTTTTTTTTTTAACGAGTTTAACCATTTTATGACTTTTTGAAGACTCAATATGAAAAAAAAACAAACATGTTGCCTGGCACATGGATGCATTTATAGCTTAACCCCGTCGAAGTTTAACCCCCCAAGTAAATCCATTGGTCATGTAGAGACAACACTTGATGCATCTTTATTCACTGTCAAAGGAACACTTTTAACGTTGGAAACACTTGACACAGTTGTTCCCCTTCCTGACTCCAGAGCGCAGTGGGACGTTTGAATAAAGCGGAGTTCCCCTTTAAGTCAATAGAGGTCCCATCCCGACAGTGGTCTGCTCTCCCCCAGGTCAGCTGCGTGCTGAACCCCGAGCCTGGCATTCAGTGACAGTTGTTTGGGGGAGTATGCCGTGTATAGATTTGATGGATGTGTTCCTTGTATGATACGTGTTTTTGTATACACTGGACTCTGTGTTTGGCAAGCTCCATAGGCTTGTGAGTAATCTGTTTATACTACGTGAGTGATACGAACAAGGACACAATTCCTTTGGTGTCCAGCTGCACATGTAAATGGCCTAGGAGAGCTGCAACACAAGCATCCTGCTGTTTCTCTTCCAACCGCCTACCCTGCTCCCCCTCTCCCTCCCCGGCGCTGAGTGCCACTAAGCTCTCTATCTGAGTGTCCTGTGAAGCGTCAAGGCGAGCACTGCTCTCAGAAGACATGCTCTAACATGCATCCTTCCTCGTCCAGCCGCCCCTCCCACCCTCAGCTCTGCTGCCAAGTGGCTCCTCTGCCGACGGTGGATCCATTACAGTTTGGAGATCTTCCACCCCGTCTCCCCTGGGAGCCCACAACATTGTTCCGGGCCCCGGCTCCTGCTACTCCCCAGCATACCATGGACTACAGCATGTGCCAATGAAGACTTCTCTTTCTTTCTGGCTGTCCATCTGTCCATGTCCTTCACTAACACCCTTCTCCTTTTTCTCTTCCTTTTTCTTTTCTTCTGACTTAAATATCTGACACTTCTCGTTCCAACAACATGTTTCGTGTATGCGTTATCCATCATTGTCACTGACCTCTGTGTGTGGTATTTCCAGAATGTCAAAGCAACGCAGCCGTTGGCCCTCATTAACGAAAACAGAGACACATGTTGTGCATGCTTGCAGAAGGGCGCACACAAACACACACAGGGGGGGAGATAATACTGACCACATGATTATGGAGACCATCGTCATGATTATCTCGTTGAGGATGTTGAAGAATTCGCACATGACCCTCCCTCGCTCGCCCATCCTGCCCATGCAGATCCCAAAGGTGATGAAGAAGCCGATCAAGCCTGAGGAAGACACAACGCAGCATGTTAGTAGCAGCTCTCAATGCAAATCAGCAATCATCAGTCAAATTAAACAATTGAAAGAAGAAGTTGGTAGGAGTTCAACCATCCTCTCACCGAGGACGTTCATGCCCCATTTGTACTCCAGTTTCTTTCTGTTCTCAATGATGGGCTCCGTTTGGTTTTCTACCATAACCGGCACCTTCTTCAGCACCGTTTGAACCTGGAGGCAGAACCACATTCAGATTGATCAGAGGTTTCAAATGTAATTAAACCAACACAAACTCAATTTCACAAAACCCTGATTTCGTAACCAATATTTTGTGAGTGAATTAAAGTTTGGCAGCGGCACAACACACACACAGATTTGTGTTTATAGAAAAAGCCAAAACAGGGAACAAGAGATCCTCAAATAAAGACAACAAAGAAAAGAAAGAAAAGAAGGTTAAAAGGGGAAAGACGATTCCTTCCTGCAAAAGCTATTATGCCTTTTATGACTTTAATGAATCCCCAATGAGTACAAACAAAAGATGCAGTAAAACTGAGATGCAGACAGAAAGGAGAGGAAGAACGAAAAAAGGGAGAACACTGAAATGACTTCAGGGAGAAGAAGAAGAAGTATATAAGCTGGTGCTCAGCAGTGCTCCCTGTCCACCAGCAGATGCCTTACAGTGGTGAATAAAGATGTAGCATTACAGATGCAAAGAGATTAGCAGTAGCAGAAGGGCTGACCCTCACCCAGTCTAACACAGACAACCACTTGTAATCATTCAGACCCACACACAGAATAGGGGGGAGGGGGGGGGGGGTTAGATTTAGACAGAAGAAGTCGCATCATGATTGAGACTTGGATTACCGTATTAAAATGATCAGCATGGATGAACAGTAGCCCTGTCCTGTCCACCATTACCCAACAAACCTTTAATGTAACTGGGTATTCAGACAGTAAACCTTTTTTTAGCTGGTGTTCAAAACTAAATGGATCATATGCGACAATTCACTTTTTGCAATTGTTTTTTATATAATCTCATCATTAAAGCACTTCAAGCTATGCTTATGTGTGTCCTTCTATAATGTAGAAATCATTTATTGAATTACCAGTTAGATATACAAAATGTCCCAAAAAATGCCATATTCTCGACGTGAGCCAAACATGATATCTTTGTTATCTTGCTTTTTTATTTAAAGGTGGGGTAGGTAAGTTTGAGAAACCGACTCGAGATACACTTTTTGTTATATTCCATGGAATGCTCTTAACATCCCGATAGCAATGAATATCTTAAGTGCTTTGATAAAAAATCCATAAGAAAATGTCATCTGTGGAAGCCGTAGAACTGTAAAAAGCACGACCAATCATCTGTGGAAGCCGGCCCGGCTAAAATGACTGGATGGCCTACCTGCCTGTCAGCCTTCCATCTGTGCACAAACTTATCTCGTGCCCTCATTCGTCATGTGCGCGTTCGTGTGTTGGAGGGGGGGGCTCTGTAAGGAAGTGACAGATTTTTTACGGCTGTGTATTTTCAAATTGTAGCGCACTCGAGCTGGTTTCTCCAAAATGACCTACCCCACCTTTAAACTACAGTAAAATATATATTTGTATGAAAAGAAAAGTACCTCCAATGTTGCCTTAAATCTGATGGTAATTTGAGGGGCTTTACTTGTAATGACATTATGTAAAAAGGTAATCTTTACACTTTAAAGGTTACACTTCTGTAACATGTACAAATGAATTGCTATTTGGTTATAAGTCAACACTAATTGTGTCAAATCATGCTCTGATTCACTCCTGACACAGGCAGAATCACAGGTTGTTTACATCTCTGTTGTTTTTTTTATTTTGTGAGACTGCTCAGTCAATACTTTTTATAGACCAACCTTTTCAGGTTCACATAAGCAGGTATTTCTAATCGAAACTAATGCAAAGCAAGTATAGGAATTTTGCATATAATATATATAATTATGATAATTTCCCACCATTTTTCACGAAGGTATGCCTCATAACAACTACTACACGTTGTGGTGGGATCGTTTTTGTCAACTGCAGAAAAAACTAAATATAATAATTAGGGCCGGGACTTTAACGCGTTAATTAAGATTAATTAATTACACAAAAATTAACGCATTTTAATCGCACTTATTTTTGCACCGCGGAACGTTTCTCACTGGATGAGTTTCAGGCGTACCGATTATACTGGAGCACCAACTAACGTTCATGACTTCAGACAACAACAAACCACAGTGAACAACAGTGGGAAATGTTGTTTTAAAAAACGGACGGATGGAAGCGTCGATAAGAGCACGGTTGTGTGCAAATTATGCAAAAAGGAATTCGCATATCACCGCAGCACATCAAGCATCACCTCAATGCAAAACATATAGCAGCTAGCGTGGACGTTAGCCTCTTTTATCGCGTTCACACCAAAAGGAGCCGGTACTAAAATTAGTTCATGAGAACCTTCAGGGACTTTCGTACGACTCTCTTGTGAGAAAAGAGCTATATGTCTGATTGGCTGGGCGGATTGCAAACCACGCCGCGTAAAACTCCCAAAAAGTTTTGTGAAGCCGCCATTGTCGCCATATCCTCGCATTAGCATTATTAGCATTAGCCCAGCGCAGAAACACAGAGCGACTAACTTATGGCAACACAAAATAAAACATGGGAGCGGTGGAGATGAGGAGGTGTCGGCGTTCTGGCGATTTACTCGGAAGGCTTCAGTAGAAGCTGCTGGGAGTCCCAGCAGCTTCTACTGAAGCCAGTCCCCAACTCCGGGGACTTCCGGCCGGGGACTTTGGGCGGTAGTATACGCCGTGAAGTGGTTTGCGGCCTGCCAGTAAACCCAAAGCAGAAGAAGAAGAAGTGACGTCAGCGGCTTCATTTGCCTAATCCACCCCCAGGTTCAAAGAGTTCTCATGAACTAAATTCTCATGAACCTTTGTGGGAAAAGTACTGCGGTGTGAATGCGCTTAATGGTATACTAAAATCCATGTGAAAAAAATTGCTTCTCACTGTTCTCAGGTCAAATATTTATATGTGATTAAAAATGCGATTAATTTCGATTAATTAATTACAAAGCCTCTAATTAATTAGATTACTTTTTTTAATCGAGTCCCGGCCCTAATAATAATGGATCATTAACATTTAGCATTACTCGAAATTAAAGTGGAAAACCTCTCTATTGCAAACAAATGTCAATGTATTTGTGTTTGATCATGAATGAAGTAAAATCCATTACAGTATTAATAGCAAGAAGTACAATTGTGCTGTGCCAGTATTTGCCAACTTAACCATTTTATCCTATATCTGTTACATTCTTACTTTGATGTGTGCGCTCACAAATAAAGAGCTAGAGTAGGAAAACCGTTTGAGACTCATTTCAGAAGCTGAGGCTACCTGTTGGAAGCAGGCCTGCACGAGGTTCTCAGGAAACAGGTTTCTGAGCAGGTCGAGGAAGGCGTCCAGACTGCTGACCTCCGGGTTCCTCTGGACTGAGGAGGTTGTGGCGCCACGCCTTAGTTTTGGGTTCCCCGGGTGGATACTCAACACCAGGATGACCCCAAGGATGGCAGCGATTACAGTGGTGGTCATGTAGTACACCATGGCCCTACTTCCCATCCTGCCACTGGAGCGGGCATCTAGACCAGCCAGTCCTTAAAGAGACAGATCATCATCAGGGTTTACTCTCATCAGGTACAAACCATGTTATTCGTGTGCACTATTGTCCTTAATTGTCCCAGTTAGTTAACATTGTTTGTGTAAGATACTTATTTTAGCTTTATCATGATATATAAGAACACGGCTGTGTTGTGATAACAGCAGGGGCGCCGCCAGGGATTTTGGGCCCCCATGAAAAGATATCACATTGGTTACTTAATGGTTACTTTTTATTAATGTTCTAAAATAGTTTGGGCCCCTGTCAGTCACGGGCCCTTAGAATCGTCCTAACTTTTCACCCCCTTACGGCGCCCCTGGATAACAGTGTCCCATGTTCCCAGAGTCTATTGCTTGGGTATCCTTTAAGGCCCTGTCACACTGTCCCGAAATTGACACCCGATGGACACACGATAAAGGAAATGTTCAAATTCGGCTGTGATCGTAGCAACATCGGGCCATTCGTGAGGGCATCTAAGCCATCGTATGACCGCCGGTGGAGTTTCTCAGGCTCCGGCAGCAACTTCGTGAGCGGCAACTTCGTAAGGCATCGTGAGGGCATCTTGTCAAATCGTGTCATCTTCGTGTTATCATCGGTGCATTCACCCTCACTCTGATCGGGGCAAATGCCCGATGGCACCGATGATAACACGATGCCCTCACGATGGCCTTACGAAGGGCACAATTGACACACGAATTCAACACGAAAATGAACCTTCGCAAGGTCCTTCGGCAATTTTTTGGCATGCCAAAGATTTTGCCACCGCTCACGAAGTTGCTGCCGGAGCCTGAGAAACTCCACCGGCGGTCATACGATGGCTTAAGATGCCCTCACGAATGGCCCGATGTTGCTACGATCACAGCCGAATTTGAACATTTCCTTTATCGTGTGTCCATCGGGTGTCAATTTCGGGACAGTGTGACAGGGCCTTTAACATTGTCAAAGATTGGTAAGGTAAGGTAAAAACATTCCATTCTCACCTGTGATGAGACTGGAAATGATTAGAGGCAGGATGAGCATCTTCAGCATCCTCATGAGGATATCTCCAGGGAAGGAAATCATAGTGAGGGCAGCATAGTCCTTCACACTCATGTACCGCAACAGCGTCCCAAACAACGATCCCAAGACAACACCTGAGGAGATGAAAAAATAGTAGAGGAGAGAAGGGGAGTAGGAGAAAAGGAGAGGATGTAAAGGAAAGGAGCGGAGAAGAGAAGGGAGGAGAGAAGAGGATATGGGGGAGGCAGAGAATAGAGGCGGGGAGAGGAGGAAAAGAAGGGAAATAAGAAACAAAGGCAGGAAATAGAGAGGAGAGAAGGGAAAGAGAGTAGACGATAGGAGGGGAGGAAACATATAATGTTGTTGAAAGCAGGATAAGATTGATGTATTTGGACCAAAAATACATAGCTATTAAAATCATCATAATATACAACGTTTTTTTTTTAAAAAGTCGCTACTGTGTGTACTCAGAATAAATACAAAACATTATGCAAATAAACAGCCAATATCAGTCATTTTTACAACTTTGTCTTTATAAACCACATATTGATAGACCCTTTCTTAGTTTCAAGTAAATCTACTGCTCAACTTCTCTTCGCCCCCCCAAAAAGAAAACTGTTTAATATTCGAAATGTAAGAGTCCTCTGACTAATGATAACTTTCAATGTAATGTAAACAGGTTTAAATTTGGGTTCAATTCTTGGTGACAAATGACAGACAAAAATAACATTCTTCTCCACTTTGCGGCGGTCTTTTTTTGACAAAGCATACAACTATGCAGAAACATACCAAAGTGTTTACAGAGGCAGACTAAAAACAGAAACGAGCCAAATATGCCTATTGGGAAAATGAGTCTGTATATCTAGAGTGCATATTCTGCTTTTTTCAACAACAAAAAACTGCACTGAAATTGAATTAAATATGAGATGGTAACATATGTGAACCAAAAGCTGGTGGGAGGCATTGTTTCTTAACTTTCAAACTATCTTTAGCAACTACAATCCAACTTTCACAAGCTGGTGAAGATGTGCCGCATTTTAACACAAAATAATGTAATTATTGATAGAAAAGTACGGTTCTGAGTCCAAGCATACCCAGAATAGTGAGTCCCAGCAGCAGGTTGTGGGTGTTGCGGGTGCAGTGGCCTGCATCTTTATATACAACGTCTGTGTTGTCATCTCGCTGGCTTTCTTCTTTCTCCTTCTTGTTTATGTTGGACTGGTTGGCTTTCGACTGGTTCGTCATCCTGTCTGTGGAGACAGTGGAAGGGTATGTGCTTCAACATCATTACACATGCAGGCCTGCAAAGTATTCAGTGTTGGTTAAATAATGCACCCTTCTCTGGCTGATTTACCGATTGGATTGTTTAAAGACTTATTTAGTATTGGTTGCAGTTATTGATGATTTAAATTGTTGCCATTTTGGCTGGCTGATTCTGCTCTGAAAGGTGGGTGAGGGACAACTGGGTATATGTCCTTGCAGCATTTGGTTTAGGTTCCTAAGGGAAGTGAATAAGCATGACGGCAGGCAATGCAAACACAGAAGGCAATGGTAAACAGGACATGAAGAAATAACTCAAGAGATGTAATATATTATAGTCCTCTAAAAGGAAACAGCAGGAATGTAAATACTAGACAATATGTACTTTGCTGATAATGGAATATATATAGCCAATGAATCAGGTAAATAATCGGCCTATTAGGAGTCGTGAGATGTTGCCCCTGGCTGTTTAAACATTTTTGACTGACAGGTCTAAGTGAAAGTTACTTATTAGATAAATCCATAATAGCAGACTTTAAGAAGGAACAAGACTATCGCTGGTTCAGCCTGACCCAACCGGTGTAGGGTACAGGATCAGGAACACAATGTGTTGGCTAGATCAATTGATTGTTTATCCCATGTACTGTGATAATGGACAACAACCGACACAGCGTCCGGATTGAGTCAAGACTCCTTCACATGAATTGTGTTCTGTCACGACTGTGACTTCAACCACTAGCAGAATATAGCACTCATGTAAACGGGATGGAGCGAAAGAGAATTGATGTGAAAGACGATGATGTTGTTTGTGCTGCAGGTGAAACTGTGTAATAGAAGAAGGGCAGTTGTTTTTTCTTTCTTTCTGTAGGTTTATCCAAAACATGCCACCCAGCCACAAGTATGAACGAGCACATTCTTATTACTGGAAGTCTGTTGTCTTGGTTGCAATGCCCTTAGGCCGAGTCATTGCAACAAATTATGATTCTAATGTAAGCAGCAGCTGTGTTAAGTTATAGTTACTAATACGCTTTCCCACTGATGTGTAGCAGGTATAATATTTACCGTGTAGAACCTCTTGGTTTTTGTGTGTTAGCATGCTATAATTTTCTAATTAGCCCTAAACCTAAAATAATGCAGAGGCATATTGCAATGTCATTATTTGCAATTCACAAACCAACATACTGACAAACTTTTATGTTGCCATGTTCCAAATACTATACATTGTCTAGGAAAGTTTTGTCAGGCTGGGGCAACTAAATCAAATTCAAGCCATTGGTAAAATCAGGGGTGTCCAAACTATGGCCCGGGGGGCCAAATATGGCCCACGGACCATTTTTTAATCGGTCCTCAGCCAATTCTAAAAGTATAATGAAATATAGCCCACAAATTAAACATCTACTATTGTACTTCTTAAATATATATGTTCAAATATATAACACAGTATTCATGTGTTATTTTCAAATAAATTCAGTCAATTAAAGTTGAAAACATTTTCAAACAAATATTAGTTGATAAGAAAAAAAGCACAATAACATTTACATTACATTACATTACATTGCATTTAGCTGACGCTTTTATCCAAAGCGACTTACAATAAGTACATTCGACCAGGAAGACACAACCTTGAAGAAAACAGAATCATATAAGTATATCAGGTTTCATAGAGCCAAACATTTCAAGTGCTACTCAACTGGCTTTAGGTAATCCAGTCCTTTATTAGTATAAAAGTGCTTCGTTAATCGTTCTAGCGCTCGAAGTGGAGTCGAAAGAGATGAGTTTTCAGTTTGCGCCGGAAGATGTGCAAGCTATCTGCCGTCCTGATGTCAATGGGGAGCTCATTCCACCATCTTGGAGCCAGGATAGCAAACCCACGTGTTTTCGCCGATGGGAACTTGGGTCCCCCTCGCAGCGAGGGCGCAACGAGTCGTTTGGCTGATGCAGAGCGTAGTGCACGCGCTGGGGTGTACGGTTTAACCATGTCCTGGATGTAGGAAGGGCCAGATCCATTCGCAGCACGGTAAGCAAGTACCAGTGTCTTGAAGTGGATTCTAGCAGTTACCGGAAGCCAGTGAAGGGAGCGGAGGAGCGGAGTGGTGTGGGAGAATTTAGGAAGGTTGAAAACCAGACGAGCCGCTGCATTCTGGATGAGCTGCAGAGGTCGGATGGCACATGCAGGTAGACCAGCCAGGAGGGAGTTGCAGTAGTCTAGGCGTGAGATGACGAGAGCCTGGACCAGAACCTGAGTCGCTTTCTGAGTCAGCTGGGGACGTATCTTCCTGATGTTGTAAAGCGTATATCTGCAGCAGCGGGTTGTAGCAGCGATGTTTGCAGTGAAGGACAGGTTGTTATCTAGGGTCACACCCAGATTCCTTGCAGTCTGAGTCGGGGAAACAACTGAGGTGCCGATGTTGATTGTCAGGTCAAGAGTTGGACAATCTTTTCCCGGGAGGAAGAGCAGCTCAGTCTTGTCAAGGTTGAGCTTGAGGTGGTGAGCAGACATCCACTGAGAGATGTCAGCTAGACAAGCAGAGATGCGTGCGACGACCTGGGTCTCTGAGCGGGGAAAGGACAGAATTAATTGGGTGTCGTCAGCGTAGCAGTGGTAAGAAAAACCATGCAGGCTAATGACTGATCCGAGCGAGTTTGTGTACAAGGAGAAGAGGAGGGGACCAAGAACAGAGCCCTGAGGGACCCCCGTAGTTAATTGACAAGGGTCGGACTCAGACCCTCTCCAAGTCACCCTGTAGGTACGGTCTTTCAGGTATGAGGTGAGGAGGGAAAGTGCAGAGCCTGAAACTCCAAGTTTTTGGAGAGTGCGAAGGAGGATCTGATGATTCACCGTGTCGAATGCAGCAGACAGGTCCAACAGGATGATGACAGAGGAGAGGGATGCAGTTTTGGCAGTGTGCAGTTCCTCCGTGACAGCAATGAGAGCAGTTTCTGTGGAGTGACCTGCCTTGAAACCAGACTGGTGCGGATCCAGAAGGTTGTTCTGATTGAGATAACAGGAGAGTTGTTTAAAGACAGCGCGTTCAAGTGATTTAGACAGGAACGGGAGGAGAGAGACAGGCCTGTAGTTTATAACATCAGACGGGTTGAGAGTGGGTTTCTTTAGGAGAGGGTTTACTCTTGCCTCCTTGAGACTGTTTGGAAAGTGACCAGAAGTTAGAGAAGTGTTGATGAAATGGGTGAGAAACGGTAGAATATCAGGAGCGATAGTCTGAAGGAGGTTTGAAGGGATAGGGTCCAGAGGACAGGTGGTAGGGCGGGCAGAGGTAATGAGGGTAAGAACCTCACTTGGAGAGAGAGGGGAAAAGGAGGTTAGTGTGTTGGTGGAAGGAAGGTCTGGTGACCCAGCGGTGAGTAAAGGTGAGTCAGAAAAAGAAGAGCGAATATCATTAACCTTTTTTTCAAAGTGGGTAACAAAGTCGCTTGACAGAAGTGAGGAGGGGGGAGGAGCTTTTGGAGGGTCCAAGAGGGTGGAGAAGATGGAAAATAGTTTTTTAGGATTGGAATAGGAAGATTGGATCTTATCTTGAAAGAAAGTGCTTTTTGCCTGAGAGATCGAAGCAGAGAAAGAGGAGAGGAGAGCCTGATAGGTTAGGAGGTCGTCACGGTGTTTGGATTTCCACCATTTCCGCTCTGCTGCCCTAAGGACGGTTCTATTAGCACGCAGTGCATCATTTAGCCAGGGAGCCGGAGGGGACTGACGAGCCTGCCGAGATGTCAGAGGACAGAGCGAGTCCAGAGAGGATGAGAGAGTAGAGAGGAGAGTTTCTGCAGCAGAGTTTGGAGGCAGTAGTTGGAACGAATCAGAGGAAGGGAGGGCTGAGAGCACCGACGAGGCAAAGGTAGAGGGAGAGAGGGAGCGAAGGTTACGGCGGACAAGTGTAGGATGGGAAGAGATTAGTTTGTTATGTTTGGAAAGGGATAGAGAGAATGAAATGAAGAAGTGATCGGATGTGTGGAGCGGGTTTACAGAGGGGTTAGAAGTAGCGCAGTTCCTTGAGAATATGAGATCAAGGACATTGCCAGCTTTATGAGTCGGTGGGGACGGAGAGAGTGAGAAAGCAAAGGCGGTTAACAGAGATGTTAGTTCGTCTATCTTCCCCATCTGGAGGTTGAAGTCTCCGAGAAGTACAGCGGGAGGGCCAGTTTCAGGGATGTGTGAGAGGAGATGATCTAATTCCTCCAAGAAGTCCCCCAAGGCGCCTGGTGGACGGTAGAGAACAACAATGGTTAACTGTATAGGATGGGTTACTGTGACGGCATGGAACTCAAAGGTGGAAGGAGTAAAGTTAGGTAGCTTGAAGAGGGAAAAGCTCCATTTGGGAGAGAGCAGGAGACCAGTGCCACCTCCTCTGCCAGTGGGTCTGGGTGTATGGGAGAAGGAATATGCAGTGGAGAGAGCTGCTGGGGTGGATGTGTTGGATGGAGTAATCCAGGTCTCAGTGAGAGCAAGGAAATCCAGAGACTGCAGGGAGGTGTAGCCAGAGATGAAGTCAGCCTTAGGAACAGCTGACTGGCAGTTCCACAGGCCACCTGAAACTAGATGTTGGATCTCAGTGGAGCACGTGGGATAGACGAGAGCAGGCCGGTTATATCGATTACGAGATACACGGGGCCAGTGATAATTGCGAGAAGACACATGAACAGGAATGGAGAAAATACACATGATTATAGCATGAGGGGCTAAACAACAAAATTAAAAATTAAAAACACCAACGATACTTAGCTCAATCAAAGTAGGATTTGCCTCCTCTTTGCCTCCCTCGTGACTCCTGTAGGACTCTAATGTCTTTGTCAGTCTTACTCCTGTCTGCCGCTGAAGCTGACGCTCCAGGAAAGAGCTACCCGAAATGGACGCCTGATTGCTCAGTTCTCACAGCTGAAGTTAATTAGTTAACTATCTACAGCTGATGGGCGACAATAGACTGGCCCTGCCTATGTTAATAATGCAGGCTTGAGTGCTGAGAACTGTAAAGCAGGT